TGGAAACACTCAACTTGTGGGGGCTCAGGTGGGAGAGCTTATAAGGTTCCTGATCTCCAGTGCCCCTGGGTCACCTAACTCGGTCGACAAGTTTTATGTTATAGGATTTAGCCTTGGTGCTCAGGCGGCAGGATATGCTGGAACTTATCTGAAGGATGAAGCCAGTATGACACTTGGCCGTATTACAGGTAGTTCTGGAAAAAAAAAATTTCTACATACCATGGATGTCTTAAATTCCTTCAGCCATCTCCAGCAAAATTTGTTGTTGACTTGGTAACGATCACAGGCCAAAAAATTCAAGATTCGTAACTTAAAACTTAGCCACGAGCAGAAGCTTTGTGAAATATGTGAAACACTTTGTCTGATATGTAAGTTTTCGTTTATTCCACATGCGCTTAAAAGTCCTGTTCAAATATCCTTCTTGTTCACCTTTCTTCCCATTTGTTTGGGAAACCATCAGTGAAGGACTCCTTTTACCTGTGTATTCATTCAAACCCTCGAACTTACTCAAACTTGACTTTGGAACGACCCTTACTGCCTTTTCTCTTCTTAGGATTAGATCCAGCCGGGCCCCTTTTCACCGATGTCGGAGATGCTCGCTTCCGATTGGATCCAAGTGATGCTAAATACGTTGACGTCATACTCACTGACATGCCACAGAAGGGTGGATTAGTCGGTTTCGGGATGCGTAAGGAGGCTGGCCATGCAAACTTTTTTCCAAATGGAGGCGTCCGACAGCCCGGCTGTAAACAAAATCTTGCGAAGCTGGGTACGTTTCTATACATTACAATAGAAAAAGAAAATTCCTCGAGAGATCCAAACTTCAGGAGGTTTCAGGAGGTGTCAATTTCAGATTCATATCCTTCGGGGGCAAATTTTGTGATCTTATTCCTTATTAAATTTTTTTTTTTTAGAAAAACCTGCCACTTGACGTCAGTGAGGTTCTCATCTCGGGTTAATCCTTAGAAGCGCATAATGTGACAGTTAAAGGGAAAAAAGCAGGTGTTTTGGTCACTTGAGCATTCTTATTTACGCTCGATTGGAATTTATTTGTTAACCAAAAGTCAAAATGGCGAACATAATAACATAAACTGGCCATAATCCTTTTTTTTTTCGTATCCTTGTCATCCTTTCTTTCCATTTTGACACAGGGTATGTTTTGGTTTGTTTTAGATCTGCATTACTTTCTTATTTTCGAGTAACTATTTAAAACGAGTGGTAAAGTGCCTTTCAATAGCCTTTTCACAAATCAACCAGATCATGAAAACAAAAAAAGTCGGAAAAAGGAAGAAATTTTGGAAATAGGCAATGAGAACCCAAAGGAAATGCAGGTAAGCGGCACAGGTCAGACAGGAATTTAAAACACTCAACTAAAATGATTTTTCTTTCTTTAGCTATCTTCCAGACAGTGATCTGTGACCATATGAGGGCTCCAGAATACTACATTGCTTCAGTTCAAAACAATTGCTCCTGGAAAGCGTTTCCATGCCACAGTCTCTCAGACTGTGAGGCAGGAAAGAACACGACATGCGATGGTAAATGCCCCTCCATGGGATATGACGCCGACAAAACAGATCTAACTGGCAATTATTATCTAAAGACAAATAGCAACCCCCCATTTTGTGGTATGTTGGTGTTTATTTTGTTCTTCCACATGGTTTTGCAACACCATTGGTTAGGCTCAGATTATGTGTTCAACTTCCAGTCTAAGTCATATTGTAACCATACATAAATTTGAGCGCTGATTGCGTTAACCGAAGTTTGCCGTAATTACTTTATGTTATCGTAGATGCTGTCTGTTTTCTGTCTTTGTTCTTTTACTTTGCATTTTCCTTGATCTCTATATATCATGAGCGCAATCTGAGCGGAGTGCGGGTGGTACCTGACCAACTGATTCCCAAGGAAAGCAATTGCAGATAGTGAGGTTTGAAAATGAATCCAGGCTTTTGCGGGCCTTTACCCATTCCTCCCAAAGGGCAGTATAACGCCATCACTGACTGGATTGCGGAGGCACTTGCGATTGTCTGGGCTTGCAATTGGATAAGAAAGATAAAATTCTTCATGGTTGGAACGTGAAGTTATATGCTTAGGGTTTTTTTTCCCTATGAAAAAGGATCACTCCACTATGAGAGAGTGGACACAACCTTAACAAACTATTTTTTTCCTTTTCGGTTCGCTAGGGTTGAGCTAAAGTGTGAAAGTGCAAAGGATTGTGGATCTACGTCTTGATTAAAGAATCCACTGGTTCAAGTCAAACGAATGATTGAAAAATAAATTACTTTCTTCCCTGAGTTTTGTTTTGCTTTGTTCACTTGTTTTATCCTTAAAACATAAATGGAGACACCCCTCTGTTCGTTATAGCCCCAAGAACATTGTCACCTTTTTCGGGGAGAGTTTTTCTAATTTTATGGGAGATAATTGGAAATGACAAAAAGGCCCCCCCTTAGCGTTTACTTCTAAAACACTAGGGGGAAAAAAAAGAAAAGTTGGGAAGGTTTTTATTACCTATGACGCTGTAAGACTACAAAACTTTAGTAATAAATTTTGCTCCGAAAACAAAAGGAAACGTGCTGGGGAGACTAATAAGCGAGACTTTCGAAACAGTTGAAGTGAGCCGGGTGAGCTGGATGAGCCAGGTGAGCCGGGTAAGCCGCGAGGAAAAGCTCGGAAAGCTGAGGGTCATTCTAAGGCTGTGATCAATAAAACATTCATTTGAATAACTAAAAATATCTAAAAAATACAATCAAATATGATTGTAGAGAAAAAGCGATAAAATAAATCACAAGTTCGTTCGCCCACCACGCTTGATTGAATTACCTTGTATTGTCCCTTTCCGCGCTCATTAGTTAGCGCCAGTAAGACAATAAACAACATCCTGGGCGTGTTTCCCTTTATTGCCCCCGCAGGGTTTTTGGCCCCAGAGGGCCAAAAACCCGAGGAGGCACCTTAGGACTCCCCGCGTAATATAGAGGAAGACTGGAGAAGAGGGAATGTGGGTATTTTCGGTAGATCATAACCAGAAAAAATCTCGATTTGATCGCTTGCACGGCCGCAAGGTATCAACGTTTTTCCCGCAAATGGTCATGGGCTGCCAGTAAAAAGACACGCGCGCGAGGACTTTTAGGATCGGCGTCTTTGACACGAGATTTGTCCTAGTATAGAGGAAGACTGGAGAAGAGAGAATGTAGGTGTTTTCGGTTGATCGTAACCAATAAAAATCTCGATTTGATCGCTTGCACGGCCGCAAGGTATCAATGTTTTTCCCGCAAATGGTCATAACTACACAAATGTAAACAACAAGCCTAACTCAAAAAAAAAAAAAAGAAAATGGTACTGTAGGGCGGGGGCAGCTCTAGTGAGAACTATAACTAGTCATATTTACATCCCGCTTTTAGCCACTTCATGCTCAATCAATACATGGCAGGAAAAGCAAATTCGATTTCTTTACTGCAGTTACATGTATTTATTACTTCGCAAGTGGGCCAAACCAAATCCTGCTTGTGTACAATTCTTATTATAAAAAATTAGATCCTAGTTTAAGTTTGATGACACGTTTATCACTCTTCAAGCGATAAAGAGTTTCTGAACCTATTCAGTGTGTTGCGCAACATGTTCATGATAGAGTGTCGAATGTGTCTCATCTTCCAACAATAAAGTATTGGGTTCAAAGTCGAATTAAGGAATACAAGAGAATTCGAGAAAGAGATTAACACTTTTAACAGAATGCTCGGACCGTTAAGTGCTACGACAATGTAACAGAATGAAGAAGGTAAGTAACAGATTAAATACGCCGCATATACGTAAAATACACCGACTACAGACTTTCGAAGGCCAGCAGAATTTACCAATTCACTAGGCCTTTGTTCTTCGCATTGTACTTGCAGGGAATTAATCTGGTTTTTATGGCGTCGCACAACTAGATAAATCTTGATACAAGCCATCGCACACACTAGGTGAAAGAGGATCGAGGGAATATAGATAAGAGGGTACGCAATGTGCAGTGGAACCCAGAACCACATCAGCGAAACAAACGCACTCAGCATCCAATTGAATATTACCACAACAAGTACGCGCGTGTACGTTACAAGTTCATGGTATCTTAAATGAAGATGAATGGCCAAGAATCTATCCAAGCTGATGGCTGCAACGCCACTCAAAGAAGCCATGCAAAACAGTACTGATAAGGCATAGACAGTCTTATAGAAAGCACACCCAGGAGAGTGTTGTGCCAGCAACTTGACATACACTGAAGTAAACAATGGCTGAGCAAATATACCAACACCAACATCTGAAACAGCAAGACTCAACAGCAAAGTCTTCAGAGGTGTTGGTAAGAAGGATGTTTTTCGTATTCCGTGGATCGTTATAGCGTTCAACATCACAGCAGTATAACACAAAAAGCTGTTTAAGACGACATTTGCGATACACGTCCAGCGAAGCGTCTTCACTTCAGATGTATCTGGCCATAGTTGCAGCAAATATTCGCAAAATGAGTCTGCCATTGTATGGCTTCTAATTTGTCGCAGAACTGTAATGGGAATGTGAAATATGTGAATAACAAAGTGGTACTCGCATCTAGTTCACAAAGTTCACATTAAGACAGTTAATTTCCTTCAACCGAGCGAAATTGGAATCTTGGCCCCTATTCGTTACCATCCATTTTCACACGCTCCTAGTTACAACTCTATGGTTTCGGAACTCAGTTTCAAAATTAACTGTTCGCTGAGTTTGTTTTCAAATTCAAACATAGCGCCCAAATAAGTCTCCCGACCGATACGAAATGTGGAGAACAATGAAATGAGTGCCAGTGTTTGCTTTCGAATGTCAATTTTTTTTACTTTAGGTGTAAAATTTATTGAAGCTGCGCCTTTAGGACATTTTTAAATTGTACACTTACACTTCGAGGAAAAGGGTACGAAATATATATTTTTTGCACGAAGTTTGTCAATGAAACATCCGACGTAACATCTATAGATATTAAGAGGGAAAAAAACGTTCGCGTGCTTTTACAAAAAAAAAGCAAAAAAAAAACCACCCACTTACAAAAGAGCATGTTTGCATACGCAATTTAATCATGATCTGAGAGCATAATTTGATCTGCAGGTGACATACAAGCAACGAAATAATCCTCGCAAGTTAGACGTAATTAAAGATGAAGAGTCCTTGAGTCCAAGCTGCAATAAGGTGAAAAAAAAAAGCACCACAGTTGCCTCGTTCCCAAAATGTGGCTTTGTATCTTAGTTGCGCCCAAATAATGGTTGAGAGGCATGGTTTCGAATCCTGCTGAGGCCTGAATCTTTTATAAGCTTCTTTCTGCAATTTCGTTCATTTGTTTACTTTCATGCTTGCTACAGCTACAATTTCATCTTTCTTTCAGTTCAAGAGTCAAATTCCAGATCCTGCCAATGGTTTCCAAAGTTACGAGGCATGTGCTCAGTAAATGATGAACACTTATCTAACTGGCATTTCGCACTGCCAAAAGGATATAAGGTATTATATAAGATGTATTATTTGCAGTTTTTTGATGCAGAGAAAGATTGTGCGCGAAGAATTCTAGTTTCAAAAATAAATTTTTAATCAGAAAATACGGATAATTGAACGCCATTCCGAGAATTTTGATTAAGTGCATCGCAGTCTTAATTAAAAGATGCCGAAAAATACAACAACGCTGACGAAGAGCTTTTCGCAGTTTCTCTCAACATACATCGTGGGTTTATCACTTAAAATGCCCTGCAAAATGAGTCATTTAAACTTGATAAAGGGTAGCTCTTACGAGATGTTTCACGATTCTACGCCGTACGAATATGATCTTATTTAAGTTTTATTTCCACCTAGAGTAGTTTTCCTTACTTTAGTGTTTTGGTTGAAGTCTAATATTGTCGTTCGTTTAACACGTACTTGTTCAAATATGTATCAAGTTTTGGTGGACGTAAAAAAAAAAAAAAAAAAAACCACCGAGCTTAAATGTAAACATATTACAGGTAGTTCTACATACAAACGTGCTGATTGCAAAAACTTAAGATGTGTCTGCTGTTTGACCATTTTAAGGATAGGCCCTCAGACTTTTGTGATGCTTCAACCAAATGAAGTCATTTTCACCGGAAAGCAGATTGATAGTCATTTAAATTGTCAAGAGAGTCTTGTCAAGCTCGTGACAAGACGAAAAACATATTTCTCTATTTCTTTACCGAGCTTAAAAATTTACCATCTTTCTCTTTCTATTTACAAAATTATTAAATATCTCATTGAAGAAATCCGTGAAAAACAACTTTGTTTAGATTCCGTTTCTTACTTGCAAATTTTCTTATGCCACCATATCTAAGAAATGCACAGTCATAAAGATATCACATGTTAGGTGAGTCGCAAGAAAGTTCATTGAATAGTGCATTTTTTAGCCCAAACATTATACCTCTAAATATAACCGTAGATCGCCAACCGATGCCAATAGGGACCCAGGCAGGCAGGTCGAAAACATCGATTACTTTAATATGAAATTCTGGATTGGCTAGTTGTGTTTACCTTCTCTTATGGCGCCACACCTTAACTTCAGCACACTTTATGTGAGCAGCGTTGAGTTCTGAATGGAAACTTTATTAATTCTCCGTCGTGGTTCTCGTTCTTAGCTGCGTAAAGTTTTGATTTTACGTTTTTCTGCAGAGGACGGCTACAGAATGTACAAAGTTTTAAAATGCACGTGCTGAGCTGTTGTTCTGTCATTGTAACTTAAGTTTTGCTACGTTGTCGTTTCTATTGACGTCGTAGTTTGCTTATATCCGTAATATTTCGCCAAGAGCAAACGAGAGATCATAAGACAAAAAACTATTTTTTACGTGTAAATTTTAGATGTTCTTTATCCGGTAATAGTAATTTATGGCAATGCAAAAGAAGTTGTGTGCGGAGAATGTGTGTGCTCCTGTCATGTTGGCAGAGCACAGACCATCTCTGCATTTTTACTCTACAGCGGCGTAACTAGGGGTTTTTCAAAGAGGGTAGCGGGAGCGAGAAGGGATCACAGTTACGCATTTTCGCCAAAACGAAGTGACTTAACCAGCTTTCTCCTGTGTGTCGGCCGAGTAGAGTTCATGTGCCGACTGATGCCAGGCAAATGGAGCAGAAATCTAGTACAGGAGAAAATTATACCGATTATAACCTACGGAATCGCGCGTGTTTTCAAAGTATGTTTTCTTTGAAAAAAAAATATTTAAATCCCATTCACTGAGACAAAAATTTCTCACAAAGGAAAGGGGGGCAACAGAAAAGGGAGGTAATGGGCACTCGCGGGTGCCCTTGGATACGCTCATGCTGCATTGCAATTGTAGTCCTGAAATGTTTGAAAACTTATTTGGAGCAAGTCAAGCCTTGGAAAGAACCACTGAATTTACAATTTTTATAAAATTTCATAACAAAATTAAGAGATTGTGTGCATTTTTTATCAGTTTAAACAGCATTGTTCCTCGAATTCGTATCGCTGAAAGCCTTTTTAAATCTCGTAAACTCTTTACTGACTATACATATGATAATATCCAGATGATTTGAGCAGGATAATGTTATTGCGTAAAAATCCGTTTATTTCACTGATACAGGAGGCTGAATGATTTTGTCTTGATCCTCGGTAACATAGAAATCTTGAACATGTATATTTTTTGTACCCAACAACACACTAAAATATTCAATAATAACAATACTTTCTGGTATTGTTTACAATGATCACATACCTAAACGATCATCGAACTAGCAGAGAAAAAAAATTCACTTTAACAAAACAGAAACTTACAAGACATTACTTGCTGTGCCTAACAGTGTTTACAATACCCAATTGCAACTGTTTAGTAACTGCTCATGAAAATAGTCGGTATCAGTAACAATATATAAAAAAAAACTAACATTACTATTATAAATTGTAGCTATCAACACAACCTCTAATTTTACAAATTATTTTGCATACTTATATTTAATTCAATTAAGCGCCACGAAGGTATAACTCTAAAAAATCGGTTTGGCTTGTCATCAAGGCAAATAACACTTTCAAAACAGAAGCATAGTTGTTTGCTTTAACATTTGAATATCATTGTTCCTTCAATTCGTTTCCTTTAGTCAACTTGTTCATATAACACTTCAACCTCGTCAGGTGAGAAACGTTCTACTCCAGCCATGAATGTGTTAGCGAAGCTGGTTGAATAGCTAGAGCCTATAGGTGGTTTGAAAGTCCATCCGATATTTGCCAGAGAATTTTTATTGAATTCGGCGTCGTCTCCAATTTTAAGATCGAATCCTTTACCAAACACGGGTCCATATCGATCACAAGCGTAGATGGACTCTACAGGACTGGTACCGTCTCCTCTTTGAGGCATCTTCATTGGTTCCCAGCCAGGTTTGTTTACCAATGAAAACAAAAAGGCAGTAGGACTGTACTTGTATCCACAACCTTCAACGAATAGCAGCAAAGAATTATTTTAAACTATTTTAGTAAACTAACATGAATAGAAATATTTGAAACACTTTGTTGGAAACGTAGGCGCTCTTTAAGTGATATCTTATGTATATGATTTATTATCTAACTGTACGCTTTTGCAAGACTTTAAAAAGTTTTCTGTCCTGTTATGTTGTTGTTTAAATACGAGAAAATTTAGCTTTCGTGTGCATCTTAACTAAGTATAATTCCAGATGTGATCAATACGCGTTCATGACAGAATGGTGGCTTGAGTAACCAGTTACTTACGATCATTACTCCATGATACGCCGGTGTATCCGCCAAAGATGTAACCTCCAACACGGACAATAACCAAAGTCGGCCCTTTGTTGTCACACAGCTTGTGGAATGCAGAAGCATTCCCACCATTTACTGTCAATATCCAGCACATAAACCAGGAGGAGCTTCTACTCTTTACAACAGGATATAACCATTGGTTTAGGGCTGCAATGTGCGATTCATTGTTTCCAATTATGTATGATTGTCCAGCAACTAAACATGGAAGAAAAGTAAAGTAAGACCTGCATAAAACAACATAATTTTGTGCTAGTCCCTGAAATTACATGTAGTTTTATCTTCTAGGAAAAAGAACATTTTTTTAACGGTTCATTTGATTATTCATCCATTTGCTTAATTGGAGTCTTGAAAATTGCTTTGACTGACCTTCGAAAGTCAAACTTGGAAAATGGCATTCAATTTCGAAGGTACAGTAGGGTTAAAAGCCTGAGTACTGTTACTGCAAGGCTACGTCTATCAGCCAGTATGCATTTGGAGTCTACTGGTCCAATTTCAGGGTATTGTGGTTGGCTATTAAAACTGCAGCGTGAGTGTGTGACATCGTGCTTTTCCTGTATTAACTAGCTAGAGTTCCAACTTAATTGTGCGTGAGGATTTCATGAGTTTACTCTTTTAGAAATTGCTTTCGAAAGAGGTTTTGTTTCATGTAGAGAGGCTTAAGGTGAATGCCCACAATAATGCAATAATCAATAATGGAAAAGAAAAACCAACATATCTCAGTTAAGTCAACTTGATATTGGGCGCCACTGTTAAGAACTAGGCTAGCGCATGCAAGATTTGTAGAGCCTAATACAATGTTGGTTTCCGAGTCATTGGAAATATTTAAGTGTAGCTTGCCCGCCACTCAAAATCCAGCTTCACTTTCTTTTTGAATATTTTTTTATGCTGGACCAGTTTTTTAAACAATTAAATTTATTAAAACAGTAGATGAAAACTCTCATGTCTCATACACTTTACGCTCTACAGTAAAAGCAAAACTGAAAGAGTATTACCAAACGATCTTGCATACACCAAGGCTGATATGTTCGCCGATCCAAAGCTGTTCTCAGCCAGACAAACATATTCCGTTCCTTGAGTGCTCTCTCTATCCATATCAACTTCAAGGCATCCATCTTCCTGAGATTTCGGCATCATGGCAGACAAATCATCATTCAGTTTCCATTCTACTACCGGACGAGGGTACCCTCTGGCCTTGCAGCACAGGCGTACGTTGGTTCCTCGATCACGAATGATCAGCTCTGGTGGCTTTTCGATAAATTCAGGTCGCACTGAAAGAAAACAAAATGTTACAATCATACTCAAAGCTGGCCTGACGACTGTTTTAGAGATAAGGTAGTCATTTGTAGAAATTCTGATCCAAAGAATTCGTGATATAGCCTATCATTTTCAAGGCGCTGATTGACTAGGGAAACACGTCACGCCAAATCCATCACCTTTTCTCAAAGAAAGTTCCGTGAAATAACTCTGGACTATTTTGTATTTACTGATCTAATTTCGAACGCCGGAAAAAATTCTGAAGTCGTTTCAAGATGCTGTAAGTCACATCCGTGGGATCATTATTATTTTTTTTAATAGCTAACTTAAAATGGCGCTTCATAAAATTACCAACTAAGAAGTGTGCAATCAAAGACGAGAGATTTCGGGAAAATAAAAGCGCTTTTAAAAGCTGAATTGAGACAAGATCCAGAAATTTTCACGTGTTAGTCTCGCAAACGAGAAATCAAGTGATTACGCTTTCCCCGCAAAGAATTTAAAAGAGCACTCAAGCTGATATATATATTTTTTGTTTCAGCATCAGTTCGAATCAAGGCGAAAGACAGTAAGACCTTTTTCAGTAAAAAGCTATCACCACAGCTAAAGAACTTAGAATGCGAACTGACTTCAACTCCCGCTCTCTCTTAAATAGTGTTGCATCCTGAATAGGTCAGCGGGCCTGACATCTGTGGATTTGGCCAAAAAAACGGCATTGTTCTATTTCTGAAATGAGTTTATTTACACACAGGATATAATAAAATGAGCACGATTGAAAAATTCATGAAAGTCTCTGGTTAGAACATTTTCTTTTTTTTTTTTTTTTCCAGAACAGTCATTTCTCTGGGTTTCATTGATAATGTTTTCTTGGATTAAGAGTATGGGCAATTTGCAGATATGGACGCTAACTTCGTTAGTTTTCAGTCGCACAAAAGTTGAAGATCGTACCTTTTACCTCCAATCTGCTCATGACTTTGAATGCTCCAAGCTTTGAGCGAGCTGTACACATGTAAAACCCAGCATGGGACTCTTGCACTTTCTTGATTTTGAGCTTACCGTTGTGTATGGGAGCGCTAGACAGAGGCCCACCAAGCTTTTGCCATTTTATCCTCGAAGGCATTGGACCTTGAACCGCGCAGTTAAACACTGCTCTGGAATTGACGGAGACTGCCTGAGACAGTGGAGAGAGGGTAATTTTCGGTGAAGAGTAGCATTCTCCTTTAGGTCCCCTCTTACCTTGCCCTCCTCTTCGGCCACTTCTTCCCTTTGGGCCAGTGGATCCAGCGACGCCAGGAGGGCCCGTGGGTCCGACGTCTCCTTTAATTCCGGGTTGTCCTGGGGACCCTGTGTCGCCTTTGTCACCTTTTATTCCCTGAAGTCCGACAGGTCCTCGCGCACCACTCGCTCCTGAAGGCCCGATAGAACCCGATGGGCCTGGAGGGCCGGTATTTCCAGGAGGACCCGGGGGTCCTACTTGGCAAATTCTGCCGTTGGCAATGCAGGACTTGTTGAAATTATCGTCGATTAGTGAGCGGACTTGATTCAAAGTTACTGCCCCAGCAGCAGAAGCTCTTCTCTCTCTTTGGTGATCATGCTTTGTTAAAAGCTTACTTCCTTCTTTGCTTTCAAAACCTGATTAAAAAATGATCGTGAAGAAAGATGCTTTTATTATTTCACAAGTGCAGAACGAAACGCGATCACAAGAGCTATCCTGGAGACCTACCGACAAAACCGTTTACTTCAATAAGCTTAAGACAACGGTGCAAAAGGCATGTAAGATCATTACATCGAGAAACAAACCAAAAATAAATAAATTAAAGGAAAGAATAGTTAATAATTTGTTGAAAAATAGTTGGAGGCTAGTTTGAAGTGTCCTTTCGTCTTAAACGAGAAACGTTTCAAATTTAAGATGTCCGGAACTGATTGTCAATTGCGTGAGAATTTTCCTGCCAGATTTTGGCGGAAATAACACGCATTGGTCATGCAGAATGTATACCTCCTTGATTCAGGAAATGTTCGGTATCATGTCTTTTATTGAATTAGACAAGAAATATATCTGTAATTAATCTTAATCTTGTGAAAGCAGAAGTTATACATATATCCCGAAGGTTTTTTTGACTGAAACAAAAATCGACGAATAAATGATAATGGAAATGATCTTAAAACATATCCTCTTTGGTGTCTTTGATTTCCTTTTTCCCATCAAGTTCGTAGGCATAAAATATTTTGGATTTTAACTTCTGTAAAGTTTGATTCCCATGAAAGATAGCCATGATAGAGCTTTTCTCTCAAAATGCTTTTGGCAAAGTCAAGATGTTCAGAGGTATTTGATAATTCTTGTTACCTGAGGATTCTCGCGGCGGAATTTGTCGGGGATCAAATACATTAGCCTCAAGAATTTTAAACGCCTTGATTGAAGAAACCGCGATGCTTGGAGTCATAACTTTGGTTGACGTCATTTAAGTTTGACCTCTTCGAAAAATAAGCTGAGGATCTGAGCCACGGTAGATCGGGGTAAGTTAAAATCAAATCAAATTAAATCGAGTTAGAGTAAAGGAACAGATTGTAGGTGAAAGATGAAAGACCACCGTCACTCAGGAAATTCCAATGGCTGGGGTCAAAACTCGGCCATTTGATACAATCTGATTTCCGCTGAGTTTCCTGTCGCACGAATACAAGACGCTGCACATCAATACTATGAAATTACTGTTACTGGCAAGCAGGTGTTTTGAATGACCCCTAAGGTACTTCTCAGGGGAAAAAATTGTAATTAATACAGTAAAATATAACTTTGAAACAATTATCCGATGATTCTCCCATGGGTATTTTGTTTCATAAGGCATGTTATAAAGAAGATAATCATTATTTTAATGTTATTTGAGTTTGACCTCTTAAAAAAATATGTTGTAGATATGGTCCAGGGTATATGACATACAAATATTGTAAATGACATACAGTCATTGTGATATTGAAGCTTTGTTCTGTTTCAAAGCCATTAACAACAGAATCATATCTAAGCAGCGAGTCTTCTCTTCATAGGATTGAGACGTAAACTGGAAAAAAATCACTTCGTACCCGGATGACGCAATGTTTGTTATTAAAAGCTTACATAACAATACTATGTGTAAACAATGACTTACCAAGGTTAACATCAGGCCTCTCCTTAATTCTCGTTGTTGGTGCAGTTTCATGAAACTGTAACTTTTTTTCTACAACTCTCTCTACGTTTTCTTTAAGGTTAACGTCAATCCGCTGAATACGGTTTTTAAGTGCTCTCGAATGTTTGTTTACAAATTCGAATCTCACAAACATCAATGACACGAGGGCCAACGAAATTACAGAGATCGCCAGGGACATTCTATTCATCCTGTCTCCAGATTTCGTGTGGTTGTTTTTGTTCGCAGCCATTTCGTTTGAGAGCACTGAGCCGGCACAATAGTACAAGTTAAGGTTAAACTACCCTTTCGGAACCTGTTCAGCGTACCCTTCTAGTTCAGAATATCACTGACGCAGTCGTCAAAAAAGACAGATTAAGGAATACAACTCATTTTCCCGGGTCTTATAGTGTCATCAATAACCACGGGGCATGCTGGGAGAACACGTATACAGCTTGAAAATCACGAGCTGTAGGGCGAGTTATTTACAAGCTTTTCGAGTATTCTTTCAACATACCAAGCGGCTTTATCAAGTTATGAAAACCGGCAAAATGAATTGTATTGCTTTAATGTCTATCTGTACTCGGAGTTTAGCGAATTGGACAACAAACTTATCATCCTTTTTGTGATCAAGTCGGTGATTCTCAATAAAACCTGTCAAAACCCCTAAGTAACCAATCACGATGCCCGAAAGAAAGTGAACAACCAGGACAGATATATGAAATGGTATCCATTATTCGATAGAAATCATAGCACTGAACTAAAAGAAATGGCAGTAATCAAACGACGGCGTGAACTAAAATTTGATGCTGTGTGCTCTTTCAGTTTGGAGAAGGAAACTCTACCTAACTTGTTCGGTATTTTTAGAGTTTTTCCTTTGGGGGAATAGTTAATTACGCTTAATTCCTAACTTAAAGAACATCTGAATACGTTACACTGTGACGGATGAAGAGCATCAAAAATAGGGTTTGAAATAACTCGAACGTGTACTTAGCATAAGGAGGTTTAAGAAACTGTTGCGATGTGTCTGTGGGGAGGGAAGGGGGGTGGAGGGAAACAAGATAATATAGTTTCATCAACTGAGTTTATAGTGTGAATATGTCTCGGTTTAAATGTTCGGGTAGTAAGCGCCTGGTGACTGGTTGTTTTTTTTCCCTTATCCGGCCCAGGGGGAAGTGACACGTTTTCCTTTAATCGGGAAACGTTTTTGCCAGTGTACCTCAAACTGTGCATCCTGTTGATCTTCCCACCTCGTAATAGCAAAGTTCGGTAGTTTATTGTGTCCGACAGCTGTACGCTGGCAATGTTAGATAGCGGGCTTGTTGATGATGTTTTAGAGGATGTAGAGAAAAATTTGTCCTTTCTAGATAATAAAATGAACAGTTTATAATCTCTTAGTCAGACAGATTAAATGTGATCAACTCGACCTTGAAAAAACATTCAGACGTCCGTTGCTTGTTCGTTCCCTTTGGCTTTTCAGTATGGAGTACTTCATTCCTACCAGAGTGTCTAATAGAGGAAAGCTTAGGAGCCATTAATCATTTAAATTCATGAGCTGTGTTTACGGATCTCGAGATTATGAGTAGTTCATGTTTTATTGTGGGCTTCTTGGTTCAACTTGTTTGATCCCGTCACTTGGTTTGAGAGGAGGAACTGGATATATATTCTTATTTGTTTGGATTTTGATGAATGAGCCAGGAATAAGGATATGTTCTCTTGCTGGTAAAACGAGGGCCTTTCGTTTTGTTTCTTCCCCCTTTCTTCCCGCTCGAACTATCATTTCTGCCAGACTTAACGGATTATGTGACACTTTCAAGCAGAAAGTTTGCAATCGCCTCGATTACCCAAAGAGACTTACAATAAGACATTTGTTCCCGGCTTTAACCTTTTTCCCACGGTTTTATTCATTTATATAGTGGTCACACAAAGTAAAAATACACTCAGTGGGAAAAAAAGAAGTTCGTGACAAGGGGGCAGTAACAGGAACAATTCCCAAATGATAACTGCCCCCATATTGTGTCTCACACTTGCGTTTAGATATTCCTAAATTTGTCTACTAAATGAAATATTAGAATTGATACAAAATAATCAAGGAGTTATACTATTCGAATTTTGTTTTCTTTATCATTACTTTAAGCTCACTTAAAAATACTTTAATTTTCGCTCCAAAGGGGCGTAACAAGGAGGGGGGATGGGAAAGGGAGAATCACAGATACAAATTTCCACCCGCCAAATGCGAAGTAGATTGTACTATAGCCTTCCCATGCGTGTCGTCTGGCTGGAATTCATGCACCGAGACAAACAGGCAAATGGAGCAGAGATCTAGCTCTGGAAAAGAATTCTGCCGGATAAATTCTATGCACTTATTATCTTACAAAGGATCGGAGATAGGGGAGGGGACATTCACTTAGCTGCGCTCATGCTGCGTTACAATTGTAATACTAAAATACTTGAAAACTTAGTTTGTGCGAAATAAGCTTTACAAATTACCGCAGAATTTACAACTTGTTTTCAAAATTTTATACAAAATTAAGAGATCGAGGTAATGTATTGATCAGCATTGTACCTCGAGTTTGTGTCGCTGAAAGCCTTTTTGAGTTTCATTAATTCTTTACCAATTATACAAATGATCACATCTGGATGATATAGGATAGGACAGTACTATTACATAAACATTCGTTGATGATTCTCATCTCGCTAATGATAGAGGTAGAATAACCATTTTGATCAAAAATAACATAGAAAACTTAAATGTTATCGTTACTTCAATTCGCCTACTTTAGTCAATTCTTTCATACAAGACTTCAACCTCATCAGGTTGGAAATATTCACTTCCTGCCATGAATGTGTTAGTGAAGTCGGAATCAGGACTTTGACCTTTAGGTGCGCTGTAGGACATTCCGATGTGTGCATAGGATGTTTTACTCTTGTTGGCGTCGTCTAAAATTGTAAGATCGCTTCCTGTACCAAATATTGGTCCATCATTATGACAAGACATCATGGAAAATCCAATAGGACTGTCATATCCGAGTTGAGGCAGTTTCGTCGGCCCCCAGCCAGGCTTATTTACCAATGAAAACATGAAGGAGGTTGGACTGTACACTCGTCCACAATAATTTATTTTAGCTGATGAGCAAAATAGTAATAAAAAGTTATTGTAAAACAATTTTAGTAATCTGTACATACCAATAGAAATGTATTTTCAACCAACAGAGCATGCTGAAAAAAAACCAAAAACAAAAATGAAACCAAAGAGATATCGAATAATAAAGCACTATTTCGTCAGATGAAATCCAACACTTAAAATTTCTAATTTGTGTCTTGTCGTGCGTTTCATACAGTGTTGTCAGCGCGCTAGAAATGTGTTATTAATCGTCACAATCTTCTAAAAAAGAGAAGGATTGGGGGCCAGGATATTTTTAACAGTAGAAACAAAACATCATCATGTTGTGCAGTATTTATTTAGTTCAGAATGATTAAGTCATTCGTTTATAATCAGCATGTGGTTAAAATTTGAATTCGAAGTCTGAAGTTATTTGAGATTAAGCTATCGCGATGAGTTTCCTGAACTATACCTGTCTTGTTTGACTCCCGTAAGTGTACGAGAGTAGTTTGCCTGCTGACCTTGATTTGGACCCACTCGAAAGTTACTGTGTCGGTTTATGAAGTAAGAGGTTGATTTGGTTAATCAGAGACTCTTAGCACGCTGTTTTTCATTTGTGTTTCATGTCAAAGTGGGTTAGTGCTCTAATAACAAATGGTTAATCTCTCATGGGCAATCAGCTGGCTTGCCCGGCCATGTTTATCAGTAGTGAATATATAAGTATGTCCTCTAAAACTTACTTAGTAGGCAGAATTGAGCAGCGCAACTGAGACAGAGTTCAAAAGTGAGTTGACAGAATTCGGAAGTAACAGAAAAATTCATAATTCAGTAGCATGAGTCACTGAGAACTCGAAGAGATCTATCACAGTTATGAGTCAGGCAACCATAGTTACACGGAGAGGAAAGAAATTGATTTAAGTGGAATTAAAAGTATATTACAGAACTGAGACATTAACAAAAAAACAGTTAAAGACAGTTTGAGAAGTCTTGATACTTTTCGCTAAGTGTGGGGCGATCCAATGCTAGTTCCCCCAGATTTTCCACCCAACCCAATCAACAAACAAGGACTCTTCTGAAAAGAACACCTCGAATACACTTTAGAATTCGTTTATCCTAGCCATTTCCGTTCAAGTGAGCTTTTTAAAGTCATTAAATTGAAGATATTTGACTCATTAGCTTTTCTCCTGCCCTTACTGACGGGCAATTTTGAGGAGCAAGTTTTACAAGCAAGTAAAGCATCACCATCTTAACATCAAACAATAAAATGTTTGAGAAAATAGTTCTGAAAACCTCTTGTCTTTAATCCGCAATTTTCCTTAAGTCTTGTAGAACTAGAGAAAAACTTTCGGCAAACATCTCAGGGTAGGTTGATTTTCAGAAGAGTGATTGCGGCTTACATTAGCCTGCATTAGCAGCTGCCGTATATGTTGCGTTAGGTCTTCAAACTCACATTCTTACTTTCAATAGTTCGACTCACTGACGAAAAAAAAGGAACTTAAAAGAAACCACGAAATCCTTTACTTACGATGTCTTCTCCATGATACACCAGCGTATCCACCAAAGATGTAATCTCCAACACGGACAATTACCAAAGTCGGCCCTTTGTTGTCACACAAATTGTGAAATGTAGAGCCCTTCCAACCATGTTTTGTCGCTATCCAACACGAAGCCCAGGAAGAGGTTCTACTCTTTACAACAGGGTGCAACCATTGGTTTAGGGCTGCGATGTGAGTTTCATTGCTTCCAATTATGTAGGATTGTCCCGCAACTAAACATAAAAGAGAAATAAAGTCAGACCTGCAATTATAATAAATTTCGTTTCCAATCCCTAGACATGGGTTTAATTACGAGAAACGATGGTATGATTTTGATTTCACAGTTAATGAAAGCGTTGAAGTCCTGCTTGCTCGCTAATAAAAAATCTAGCATTTTTTTCCTTTTTCTCGAATATATTTATGCCAGACTGTTTTATCCTCCGCTTCCCATTAAAAATTAAACTAAAAGAGTAATACCAAGCGATCTTGCGACCACTGAGGCTATTCCTTGCACCATTCCAAAGCTGTTTGTAGCCCGACAAATGTAGTCCGTTCCTTGAGCGCTCTCTCTATCCATATTAATTTGAAGGCATCCAAATTCCAGGGAGTGGGGGATCATGACAGACGGGTTATCAGGCCGGTACCATTCAACTTTTGGACGAGGGTTTCCTCTGACCTTGCAGCACAAGCTTACATTTGTTCCTCGATTGCGAATAACCAGCTTTGGCGGCCTTTTGGTAAATTTAGGTGGTTCTAGAGGAAAACATATCTGATTGTCATATAAAAATTAGGCTTGACGAATGTTTTAGATACGAGGTAATGATTTCCAGAAATTCTTATCCAAAATAAGCTTGATATAGCCTATAATTTATGAATATGCCTGATAGAAAGGTGCGAAGGAGCATCTGACCATTAAGGCGAGCCATTGTGGAAGATCAGAAAAAAAGCTTTAAAAAACACACAAAAAAAAGGACAATTCATTAGCCTTATCACTTATGAATTCCTTAAAAAGTTAGTTTAATGGTCATTCACTTTGATTAAGAGACTTTTTTGGCGGCCTTTTGGTAAATTTGGGTGGTTATAAAGGAAAGAAAGATATCTAATTGCCATACTAAAGATAGGCTTGACGAATGTTTCAGATACAAGCTGGTCATTTCTAGAAATTCTTATCCAAAGAAAGCTTGACATAGCTGAACGAATTTAATTCAAGGCTTTGATTGAAGGGAATATGGATATTTCTTCTGGCTTTGGACAATGCTTCGTCAGTTTTCAAATAACTGAAAGTTGATCTGGAGAGCTAACAAAAATTAAAGATCCTACCTTTTATTTCCAAACTGCTAATTGCTTTAAGCGCTCCAGAGAGAGCTGTACACATGTAATCCCCAACATGTGACTTTTGTACATTTTTTATTAAAAGCATGTGTTTGTCTGTTTGAACACCATTAGGCAAAGAACCACCAAGCTTCTGCCACGTTATCTTCAATTGCGTCCGACCTTCAACCCAGCAGTACAATATCACTTTCTCGTTGAGGAAGACTGCTTGGGAAAGTGGATAAACGGTAATGTTCGGTTGAGTGACGCATTCCCCTTTTGGCCCATTCATGCCTCTTAATCCCCTATGGCCTTTGTTCCCATTCGAGCCGACGGATCCTTTGATGCCAGGAGAACCCATGGAACCAACGTCTCCCTTAACTCCACGTTGTCCAGGGGACCCTGTATTGCCTTTGTCGCCTTTTACTCCCTTAGGACCTCCGGCTCCTTGATCACCACTCTTACCCGAAGGCCCGATAGGACCCAATGGACCTGGTGTGCCGGGTATTCCAGGGGGACCTGGTGGTCCAGTCTGACAACTAGCTCTGTTAACACCGCAGAACTTTTTGAAATTTTTATTGATTTCTGTGAGGACGTCCTGCTTAGTTAGTGACCCAGCAATAGGAGCTCTTCTCTCTCTTTGATGATCATACTTTACTGAAACCACACTTTTTTCTTTGCTTTCAGAACCTGACAAATAAATGATTATCAAGAAAGATGGCTTTTATCTTGTCACAAGCGTAGGGAAACATACGATTATCGTTATTATTGAGACCAAATAGCAACCATTTACTTCAATTGCAGACCTCTTTTAAATCTTAATCTGTTCCGTTTGTTATTTTACAGTTCGACTGTCCAGTGAATGCAACAGAACTCCCTCTTTACCCTATTACAAGAGTCTGTGAGGAAAAACACCTAAAAGAGGTCTCAAGTCATTACCGTGCTAAACATTTACCTACGTACTATTTTGATTACCCACAAAATATGATCATATTGAAAAAAATGACATTTTGAAATGTATAAAATAATCATATTTGAACTTTTCCTTTATCAATTCAATCGACATTTACGGTCTAGATAGAGGAAGGAGTTATAAGAATAAAACTAAAAAAGAAGATGAACACGGCTTATGATTTATGAACATGCCTGATAGAAACATGCGAAGGGGCATCTGATCATGGAGGCAAATCGTTGTGGAAGGTCAGGAAAAAAATTTGAAAAACATAGAAAAAAGGAAAACTTTTGAGTCTTATCACTTATGAATTCTTTAAAAACTTAGTTTAATGGTCATTCACTTTGATTAAGAGACTTTTTAGAGGGCAAACCCAGCGAGCATTACGCCCTAAACACCGTTCTCAAAATGAAGATAAAGAGAAGTACTTCAAGGACAATTCTTGTTTCGTGAGAATTTCCCTGCCAGAATTTGGCGGGATCACCAAAGAACTTATCCCACCTTGATTCAGGAAATGCTCGGTGTCATAACTGTCATTACATTGGGCTCAACTAAATATAGTTTAACTAATCTTGCATTCAGCGGTGGCCTGACCACAAATAACGGTTACCCTCATCAATACCGCCAAAATTTCCGGAAAGGGGAGAGCAGATGTTTAAATAGCTCCAACTTATAGATAACAACAATTTTTCAATTCATTGATCTCCTTTGATTTCCTCTCTCCCACGAGGCTCGTTAAACAGGAAATTATTCGGATCTTGATATCAAGTTAGTTTGAGCTTGATAAATGTTAGCTAGGGTACATCGGTGTAAAATAGGATAAGATCATATCCAGTTAGAGTTAAAGAACAGATTCAAAACTCTAGGATATTGATATGCCCAGAGTCATAACTTAAACTAAACGAATTGATCCAATCTGATTTCTTGAGTTGCCTGACGCGCGAATGCTTCTAATCCCATATCGATATTACGAAATTACCGGATATAAAAAAGAGCGTTACGAACTTTGATAACTGGAGTAAAAATAAACGAAAGATTGTGATAAAAATAATTTCAAAACATTCAACTTATTAAGTTTGATCTCTTTAAAAAGAAATTTGATTAAAAAAGAAGAACTTTGCACTTCTCTGATCTTGTTGGTAAGAAGTTAGATGATAATCGAAAGCGAAGAACACAAGAAACTTATCAGGTAGCCAACTTATTGAATATCTGCTGATAGTTTAGTTCACAAATTGAAATTCTTCAGATATACTCGACGATTCTTTATCTTAAAATTTGGGCGCCACCGATCTTGATTCAGGAAACTTGTTGCTCAGGGTACCGTCATAATTTTGATTGGATTTGGCAAAACGAAATGTTGCTTTGACCAATCTGCATTCTTCAGTGGCCTGACCACAGATACATGTCACTCTATTAGAGAGCCGCCAAATTAACGTAATGTGTTTTGAATAACCGCGAAGTTTCCTCATTGGAACAAAGACAACAAAATGAACGATCTAATAGATAACATGATAATCACTTTCAGATATTTAGTATTTCCCTGTATTCTTTACCCCATAGTGCTCTTTAAACAGTAACTCATTTAGATTTAAGGTCAATTAAGTTTAGACTATGCTGTGTTTACGGCCGAAGAAAGACTAAGAGAATAATTAAACGGAGTCAGAGTAAGAGAGCATAAAAGTAAAGAGAAGAAATTACTTTTCACTTCTCCAAATTTTAATGAAAAATAGTTGGAGGCTAATGTGAACTAATTAGAAGTCGTGCTCAAAGTCCTGTTTTTAACTTATTCCTGTTTCGTGAGCATTTTGAGAATTTTTACCAAATTTGGCGGAGAGTCAGGAAATGCTCGGGGTCACAACTGTCATATCTCATTAATTTCACCAAATTACAGAAAAGCGATGGCAAATACTTTAAATAATCCCAAAGTATCTTATTTAGAGGAAATTAATTGATATATGTGATAATAATAACTTAATAATTCATTGATTCAGTTTGATTGAGGCTTGTTAAACAAAAGTTATCCAGATTTTAAAGTCGTTAAAGTTTGACCTCTTTGGAAACTACAGCGTGGAGGAAGGCCAAGCTAAATAGGTGTAAAATAAGATAATATCAAATCGAGTTAAAGTAAAAAAAACCGATTCAATCTCAAGATCAAATACTACCGCGACTTCAGGAGATTGATATTGCCAGGGTCATAGCTTAAACTGGGCGATTTAATCCAATCTGATTTCTTGAGTTGTCTGACGCATGAACGCTTGTCACCGTATGTCGACGGCGCAAAATTACCGAAATTTGAAAGCAGGTGTTTTTAAGGTTTCGTCACTGGAATGAAAGGAAATGAATGCTTGTTATGACAATTCATTATATTTTCTGATTCATATCTTGTGATCCTATATCCTCTCTGCAATATATCTCCTTGAACAGATTTTAACCTTAGTTAGGTTTGATCTCTTTGAAAAAGAAACATGATTTAAAAAAAAGGATTCTTCACTTCTTTAATCTTATTGAAAAAAAGAAAGTCGAAGTCTGGCTAATTTAAAGCGGCCTTTGGTCCAATACGTGAAAATTTTCGGCTGAGACTTCTCGGGGTCATAACTTCCATTAGGTTTGGCAAAAAAAATAATGTTGTTCTTGTCAATCTCCATTCTTTAGTGACCTGACCACGAATAAACGTAATTACTACAAAGAAGATGCTTGAATAACCGCAAAGTTTCGTTTCTGGAGCAAAGAAGTTAATAGATACATGCATGAAGATGACAACGAGTGTTGCTTCCCAATATTCACTCGTTAATTTGAACTAATTCAGAGTTACGGTCGGTTACGTTTAGACTTTCTGGAAACTATGCTGTGTACATAACCGAAGGAAGACTGTGCAGAGAAGATAATCATAAAACCGAGTCAGAGAAAAGAACAGAAAAATCAAAAAGAAACTATGATTAAAAAAAGAACTTTTCAGTGCTCAAAGGTTTGTTGAAAAGCAGTTAAAGCTAGTGTGAAGCACCCTTTGGCCTCGATCAAGGCATTTTGCAAGTTGCAAACTCGCTGAGAATCGCGCTTGAAGTCCAGCTTACAAATTAAAGATGTTCAGAGCTGATTGACGGTTCTTGATGTTTCGTGAGAATTTTCGTGCCAAATTTGGTGGGGATCAAACATATGATCTTTTTAAAAAGAATGTAAACCACTTTGATTCCGGAAATGCTGGAAATCCTAACTTTGATTAGATTGGGCGCAACTATGTGTACCTTAAATCGATCTCATGTTCGGTGATGGCCTAATCACGAATAAATGTCAGCCCATATTAACATCGCGAAATCATTGTTAAGTTTTAGCAGAAATTAGAAATAAACCCATAATTTTTTTACGAGACGATAAAGGGATAAATAGATTAATGATGATAATTTCAAAAAATTTCTTTGTTGATATCCTTTGAGTTCTTTTGTCCCATCAAGCTCGTTAAACAGAAAATAATTCAGATTTTAACATCAGCAAAGTTTAACTTTCTTGAAAAGATACCTACTCGATATGGCATGGCAGATATGTGCAAAAAAAGAAATATCTCATCGTCAAACTGAGTGACAGTCAAAGAACGGGAAAACAAACCGAAAAAAGTACTTAATAGAAAAGTGAGAACTTTACTTCTCTAAATTTTGTGAAAAAGGGTGGAATTTAGTCTGATACCGCCTTTTCTCTTGGGAAAAATACTTTTCAATTGCGACTTTACAGACAACAAGCTCATTGCGCTTGAAATCCTGTTTGCAAAGTAAGGAGAAGTATTTGATAACTCTTATTCCGTGAGGATTTTGGTAACAGAATATGGCGGGGATCAAACATAAATATTAGCCTCAAAAATGTTCGTAAACTTGATTGAGGGAAACGAACTGCTTGAAGTCATAACTTAGTTTGAATTAGATACAACAAAATTTTACTTTAGTCATCGATGGCCTGACCACGAATGCATGTCAATACCGCAAAATCACCTTCAGGTGAAAGCTGAGTTTTCACATACCCTTAACTTTTTTCATTCAAGCAAACTAATTATAATAATACTACTGATAATAGGTGAGTAAATAATGATAACTTTAAACTATTTATTGGCTGATATCCTATAATTTCCTTGTCCTACTGAGCTCTTAAAAAATAGTTATTTAGATTCTAACGTCATTTAGGTTTGACCTCTTTGGGAAATACGCAGAGGATATGAGCTAAGGTACATCAGGGTAAGATAAAATATCATCAAATCGAGTTTTAGTAAAAACAGATTATAGAATAAAGATTAAAGACCACCGTGACTCAGGAAATTGCGATGCCGAGGTCATAACTTTGAGCAATTTGATCCAATCTGATTTCTTGCGTTTCCTGTCGCACGAATTCTTGTAACCACACATCAATATCCCGAACTTTCCGTTATGTGATAACAGGTGTTTCGAATAACACTAAAATTTCCTCAAACAAGCAAAAAATGCTGAATAACTAAAGTAAAACCCTAACTTCAAAATGTTTACCCTGTGACTTTCTTATGGTTGTTTTTTTCCACAAAGCACGTTGCAAAGAAGGATAATCATTATTTTAATGTTATCTGAGTTAACCTCTTCGAAAAAAACGCTGTAGATATAGTGTAAATAGGTAAATGACACAAATCAAAGACGATGAAATTAAATACAAGTTTGACAATATCTCTATGTCCTTTATCTCAGTCATAGGCGATAAAATCATAACTAAACAACGAGTCTTCTCTCCCTAGGATGGAGACGTAAACAGGAAAAATCATTTTTGTGCCTGGATGACGCAATGTTTTGCTTACATAACATTACCACTAGTAAACAGTGACTTACCAAGGGTAACATCAGGCCTTTTCTTACTACTGGTTGTAGGAGCAGTCTCATGAATCTGTAACTTCTCCTCCACAATTCTTTCTATGTTTGCTTTAAGGTCAACTTCAATCTGCTGAATACTTTTATCGAGCGCTTTCGAATTGTTGTACTCGAATTCGAATCTCACAAACAAAAATAACACGAGGGCCAACGTAATCCCAGAAATTGCTAAGGACATTTTACTTATCTTGTCACCAGATTTCGTGGCCATTTCGTTCACGAAGACTGAGGCGGCAAAGTATGAATGAGTAAGCTACTCTTTCAGCACCTGTTTCAACGCACCCTTCTAAATCAGAATATCACTGACGCAGTCGTCAAACAAGACAGACTTAGAAATACTTTGCACTTTCCCGGGGTTTTACAACGTCATAATGCCACGCGGAATGTTGGGAGAACACGCGTACAGTTTGAAGGTCACAAGCCGTGAGGCGAGTTTTTTTTACAAGCTTTTCGAGAATTCTTTCACCACCCTTCGTGGCTTTATTACCATATTAAAACAGGGGAAAGTGTTATAGGTCTTTCATGACATCGCTGTTTTTGGTGTTTATTAGCGAAGAGGAACATTAGTTATCAGAAATTTTGTGATCAAGTTGTTGATTCTCAGTGAAACCCGACATAAAGCCTGAGAAACCAATCACTGCGCCCGAAAGAAAATGAACAAAGGCCTATGCAGTAGTGAACTGAAGCGTAAAGAAAGGTTTCAAGCCTGTCGTTTAGTACGGTCCATTGGAAGAAAGCTTACTTACTAAGCACTTGGTGACTGGCCCTAAGAGAAAGAGTGATTTTTGCTTCCCGAGGCGAAGCTATTCGAAAAGCGTTTACTTCTACATCTCACCCCAAAAATAGAACAGTTTGCAAAAAGTGATTTTCTCTATGGAGCTGGCACACAATTCTGCCGCGGTTTCAAAGAGCACGACCTAATCACATTTGAGACGAAAGTTCAAGTTATTAATTCCCTTGGCAGGTAGAAAGTTTTTACCCATGGCGAGTGACACGTTTTCCTTTAATCGGAAAACGTATATGCTATCGCCTCACAAAAGAAAGTCCTGAAATTGAATTTCAAGAGTACTCAAGTATTTGGAATTTTCAATGTAATTGAATTTGCTTTATTTTTCCTCTTAAAACTGTCTGACGTCTCTTTGATCTTGATGGTGACAAAAGAGACCCATTTCGGGTTTAATAAAACCTTAAAGAAAATAGATACATATATACAATAACAAGAAAGAATGTAATTTACCGGAAATTTAATGCATATCCCGCCGTTAAAGTTAAGGGTTTTTAAGGTCAATTTTTGCTCATCTCATTCAGGCCTTGTCACGCTCGTCACGTTTAATGAACCTTCACGTTCCGCTTAATCTTCGCTTAACTACCCAGGGAAAATTCGTTCTCTTTCACTCAGTAAGCTTTCTTATGTGAACCAAATAGGGATAGATGTAAGGAGAGTAAATCAGTTACATGAAAGATTTCAGATTTTTTTTCTTTCTGAGCTCTCAATTAGCAATCATTTTTCACTTGTGTCAAGAAGTTAAAATTGTAAATGACTGAAGGGCCCCACAGTAACAAGAAGTTTGAAGTTTCATTGTTATTTCTTCAGGAACGAACTTCAATCAATGTTAATCAAGTATTTTAATGATAAAGCGAAGGTGACGAGAGTATTTAGATTGTAGTCATAAATGCCAGAGCTATTGTTGAAAAATTCATCGTTATCCGACTATCTTGCTCGAGTAGTTCCCGAGAGCAATCGTTTATATAATCATCATTTGCTCTTCACTTTTTTCTCGTACTCGTCTTTCATTTCTGGTTTAATCTCAGGGTCACGAGACTGCATCTGTAAAAAAAATGAGACTTATGACTAATTATTGATTGCTTGGGCCTTGTTCGCTGCAATCTTTTAAGAAGTACAAAGATGTAATTGTGCGTTGTCTTCGACGGCGATAGTGTGGTCAAGGAAATTAATAAACAGTTGAGAAACTTAATCAAACGTTTTCAAATTGAGTATAAAAGGATGAGGAATTCTAATTTACCTTGACGTGCAACAAAGTTTAATACCCGTGGATGAAACGTGTTACGTGTTAGCCTCAGAGTGGCTCCACCCAAGACTGACATGCGATGTTCTCTTGATCCAAAATAACTTTTATCATAATAGCTTTTTTTTTGTTCGTATTACGCTGATGAAAAAACGGAATTACTTTGTTTTCGCATAACATAGGTAATCTTAAACTCAAGTGCGGAATCCAAGTCCTGACAGGAAAAAAGTCCAGGCCATTCTAATATTAGCCGAGGAGGAGCGTAGTCTGGATGCTAGTACTCCGTAATGGTGTCGCTGTTCCCAGTTAAGCATACGCACCTCCAGAAAGACAGTTATTGATCTGCTTTTGCTTCAGGTAAGGTGCCAAAGAACTTATCTAGAAGAGACTCAGGTAGACTTACTTTTGATCAGTTAACAGTCCGAGACGAAATTAAATTGATAAACATTAACATCGGAAGGCTTTATGCGTAATTTGGAAAGCACGATCTGATTGAAAGGAAGCATTATTTTCCTCCATTGAATATGCGGCTTCTATGGCAAAAGACATCTTCACGATTTTAACTGAACGTGTAGTAGTTGAACGCCCCGATCCCTACTCATTCGGTTAATTTCTTTGTGAAAACAGATGTTTATAAGAATAATTTATCAATTGATCGAACACGATCAGTCTCTCAATCAATCATTCTTTACTTTAAAGTGTCTTTCTATCGAAGAGAGGTCCCTTCAAAACTTTTAGATGCATCAACTATGGATAGTGCTGAAGAAGGAGAAAAGGATTTACACACACGTCAAGATAAAAAGAACAATAAAGAGGAGGAACAGAGTACTCCAATTGGGGAGAAGCCCTTTAAATGCGATCAGTGCCCAAAGAACTTTAGCAGTAACAGTAGTCTTTACAAGCACAGAAGAAGACATACAAGTAAAAAGGCTCATTTGTGTAAAGAATGTGGAAAGACCTTTAGTGAAGCAGGAACGCTGAGAAGACACACCACGATGGTTCATTTAGGAGAGAGACCTTATGCATGTAACCAGTGTGACCGCACCTTTAGTCTCAAGTGGGACCTTCAAAACCACAAAAGGACACATACTGGAGTGAAGCCTTTTGCATGCAGCTATTGTGGAAAATGCTTCAGTTACTCCAGAAATCTTCACAGACACTATAGAATACATACAGGAGAGAGACCTTTCAAGTGTAAGCATTGTGACAAGCAGTTCACACAAAAAGGAGGTCTCCTTAGACATGAAATAACACATTTATCAGACAAGAGTACAGCATGTGTAAGGTGTTATAAGAATTTTCACCATCCAGACACACTGCAGATTCATCTCAGGGTAGTACATGGAGGAGAAAGGCCATTTAAATGTGAACAATGTGGAAAAAGTTTTAAGCAGAAGGTACATCTTCAGGCACATCAAAGCATACATACAGGAGAGAGACCATTTGCATGTGATCAATGTGGAATGAAGTTCCGCTTGAAAAGTCACCTCCAGCAGCATTTTACAACTCACTCAGTGGAGAAACCTTTCACATGCATTCAGTGTGGCAAGAATTTTAAACAGAAAGGCCATCTCCAAGTTCATGAAGGCAAACATGTTGACACAAATGCTAGTTTTAGCTGCTATCAATGTGGGGAGTGTTTTCACTTTAAATGTCATCTCTATTTACACGGTGCTCTTCACTTTTCACAGAAACCAATCACCTGAACAGCATAATAAAAGTTTCTCTCAGGAGCAGGATCTCCAAAGTCCTCAAGGTAAACACAAGGGAGAAATTCTATCATGCTAGGCACACTGACCTGTCACCCTTTATGACATCAAATGACAGCATAAGCATAGCTCTCAAGACACTGGAGCACGAAATTTTTCCTTGACTATGAATTTTATAAATAATTTAGATGCATGTAGGTGTATTGTGAGAAACTTCGGCCTAAAAGAGGGAAGGTCACTTGAGCCATTGGAATGTCTGGGATGGCCGTAAATTTTCCACTTGGCCAAGTAAAATATGACCTTACATGTCTGATTACCCTAGGTTACAAAATAAGCTATGATCATTATTCTGCAATATGGTTATGTTGCACGATGGGTGAAATGTAAGGATTTGTATGGGAATACACACTGAACCTCTCCACCTGAAAAAATCTGAATTAGTTTTAAATGAAAACAAACTTACCCCACTTGAGTGGTTGTTGTCTTCCATCATGTGACTTTCTTCGGCTAGTTTAGAGCTGTTTAGCTTACTTCTATGGTTCAGCAGCTTAGTGCTTTTTACATTGTGCATGTAAAGCTGGCATTGATGAGAGCCTGGCAAATTCTTTGAAAATTTAATTGGCCAAAGAACATTTGTCTACTACTGAGCAAATGAGATATTTCATGAAATTTTATTTATATGTGAAAATTCATTCCTTTACTTAATGACTTCCATGAAAATATTTGATCCCTCTCTATCCCAAGAGAAACCAAATTTCTTTCACAGTTACTGTATGCTTTCAAACTGAAAGGTTCACAAGTATCTTGAATGGTTGCTTAAAATATTGATTCGTGCCATTATCTCTTGCTCCTGAAGTTCTGGTTGGCTTTACACTTGAGAGAAGAGAGCTGTAGGACTGTACTCTTTTCTTCTTTCAAGGGAATTTAAAACTCAATTGGCATCTTTCTTGATACTTCCTGTAACATGAAGGATCGAGACCATGGACTCTACTTTACTTTCACTTCAGTTATGGACATTTGTTACTGGAAAAAGCTAGAGAGAAAAATGACATATTATTTAATCACTGTTATAGTGAACGATAACATACAGTAAATGAAATTTCTGTCAGGTGCATGAAAATCAGTCGTCTCATCAGACAGGGATAGTTTCAAATATAAAGGAACAGAGACTCTTTTTATTGTAAAACTGGTTGTTGTTTGGCTCCCTATTGAAATAAACATATTTTAAAACATAATGAAGCACGGAGTATTTTAGTTCTCTTTACTTTGCTTTCAATAAATCTATCAAACATGAAGAAACTTTTTCCTATGATTAAATAAATGGAAATTCATCAAATGGTTCACATTGCCTAAGAAGGTTAACAAGGAAGATGTGATGTAAAAGTTAGTGTTATCTTTTGTCTAATAATGCAGTCACTTCCTGAATGAATCACTATTTACAAAAGACTAGAAGTACACTTACATAAAAGCATTAATCACAATGCAATCCATATCAGTTGTGACTAAATTATGAGATAAATGAGAGTTATTGTTAAGGTTCATTGTAACAAATAATCACATCCCTTTTTTAAGATAACAAAAATGACTGATAAGTGTTATTCTTCACCCTGTGCAGATTTTCTGCTCTATGTTGTGTGTAGATGATATTAAAAATACATTCAACATCCAACAAGTGACTTCTCATTTTTTTCTTAGCATTGCTTTTGTATTGTAGCTTATGCCTATGGCTTCCCAGATGCTTTTCCTGTTACTGTTATGGGAAGATAAAGCTGTTATAACAGGTTCCTGATTTCGCAGCCCTTCATGGAAATATGACAAGCCATCTTCCCTATAAGGTGCCCGCAGGTAAAAACAAAATAGGGACTCCTGCAGGAATGAATGCCATCCTCTTTTGTAGTGGCTCCAATGATAGATCAAGGTTTTATTACAGAAGTTGAGCATGGCTTCTGCAGCTTTACGCCTGGATTCCTTTTTAGATCTGCCTTTACCAGTACATAGTAAGTTTCCCACTGTTACTGTTGTCTCAAAAGTCCTTTGATGAGGGGGCCGTCTCCATTAGATCACTCGAATTCTGGTCTTTGCATTCCATTTTTAACAACTAGCTCTTGCAGATGACTTATGGGGTTATTATGTGGCGCAAGACCAGATGTTGTCCATTGCTGTTGTGGAAAAATTATAATTATGACAGAATTATAGAGAACACTTAATTTTCCTTTAATCCTTTAACTCCCAGAAGTGATTAACATCCACCTTATCCCTACAATATAAATACATCATCCAGCAAACAGTTAATCAGAATACTCAAACTTATTGGGTAGGTGTTATCTTACTTTAAAAGAATAGATATAAAGATCATTATCTAAACTTACATAATATGAAAGTATTTCCTCTCAGGAACTATGTGTCTAAAGACTGAAAGAAACAGCAACTACAAAAAATACTCGTCTTGGCTTGGAGCTTTAAGTGTTAGTGGAAGACCCAGATAACAGAATGCTCCTCCAGTAATCCCAAACCAAGAAGAGAAACATCCATAGCAATATTGCCAACAACTTGAGCAATTATATAAAAGAGGCTTGAATGATTGAAAAGAGACATGTATCCAACCATTGACCCCTTAGAGTGCCTAATATCTAATTTCTCCTTACAATATCACTCCTGAATCAAGAAGCTCTTAATTATTTGTCAAACAAAATTTCCTAATTAGCACATTAGGAAACATGTAGAGAATGGCATGAAGAATATGCATACTGATGTTACACTGAAAAGGGTTTTACAGGGCAGCGCAACAAATCTAGAAACTTAAATTGAAAAGTCAGGTCCAAAAACTTACATTTGACAAAGTCAACATAAAGTTGAGATTCTTTGAGCTTATTCAATGCCATCCTGGCTGCCTCGTGCTTGGCCTTGGCCACACCCTGATCCCTGAGCTATGATATCTCCCACAATATAACACATTACAAACATTCTCCTATGGCTTGGTCCCATATTCGCAACAGTCTCAAAATTACACTCCAACGCCATTTTCAAGGTGAGCTTCATCAGCTCAGTGATTGACATCTTAGCCACTGGCTGCACCACACTCAATGTGACAGGAGGAAGCTGGGCCCATATACCTCAGTAGATGAGGATCCTTGTGGATCAAATAAAGGACCAGGGAAAAAAATTAAAGGGTTCTGTCCCTGACATAGCTGGACCTGAGGACAAAGAAGTATGTTTTAACAAAATATGCCTGTTGTTATGAGTAACTGCTGTTGTAAATACAAGCTTCTAGAAAACTCCAGACTGCTTAGTCATGCTAACATGCTTACCATAGAACTTTCCAGAACATTTCATCAGAGCTTCAGTGGATGATTACTAATTTCAAGAAACGATGGGGGAAACTGTGAATTTGGCTCAGTGGTGAGCTAAGATATAGACTGTAGCAGACTTAGGGATTCAGAGTTCATTGAGCATAAGTACTGAACTGCCTCTAAGAGTTGCTCCTTATTAAGAATAATTATCACTTGTTGTTTAATAAAGTAGTTGAGTTTGTAGGATTGTACTGTTTTCCTGTTGGTTAGATTATACTGTAACACAATATATTGCCAATTTTTGTTGCCGGATAGTTCAACTGTATCAAATTTACAGAGGATTCTCCATAAACATAGGAACGAGAAAAAAGCTCACGATGAAAAACAGCAGCCTATAATCTTGCAATACATCACCTAAGTGTTATCCCCAATTTTTAAAGTCCTGTGCCCGTGAAATTTTCCATCTTGTCAACTACCAGAAATAGTACACGCTACGAAATGTAAACAATGTGTTTTCTGCACCAGGCGAGTCGATGACATCAATTATCAAATTAACCTTCAGATCATATTAAAAAAAGGAAAAAGCATACCATGACAAATTTCATCTTGAGATGTAATTGTACTTAAGTCACTCACTTTGCCCACGAGTCTGTTTTAAATGCCTGAAGGTCTTTCATCTGCTTGGCCCCTGGTACAGTTACAATGTAATCAAAATGGCAGCGAGGGACTGGAGATTACTTGTCCCAGGCAGCGCGCGGGGAGCGGTGTTCGCTGATGGTATGTTGTTAAAATGCTCTACCACGTACTTAATTGATGCTAATTTCCGCAGTTTTCGAAATTTAATCGAAGCGTAAAATTCAAGTACCCTTCGAAAAGGATGGTCGACGTGAAATTTAGTGACGCAAAATTCAATCCTAAGTGGGAAATCCTTTTAATTAAAATGCGTTTGTATAGTTTCAAAGTTGTCACAATTAAGTTGTAACTGAGGGTTCCTTTACATTCCTTTTCTTGCCGAATTTCCCCTGAAGCATCCTCAGTATAGTTATCAAAGAAAGCACGTAAACACACACACACAACCCATAATTCTTCCATTCATAATGACGAAGGGCCAGCCCTCGAACTCAACTTACAAACTCTTAAAGTGGCCAATTTACATTATAAACTCAGTTGACAATTTAAAAGCCAGAGGGCCAAATCATGCCTTGTAGATCCGATTAAGAAATCGAAAGTGCTCTTCAGATAGCACACCAGCGCTGAATGATTTTTAGGCTTCCACATATCATGAATTTTGGACCATATGCGACATGCAGCACGGACATTTTTGAGGTCAAAAGCGAACATTTCGTCTTTATTTTTTTTCGTCACATATTCATGACGATGTTGCTTTTGACGATGGAAGATTAAAATGGACGTACGAGTATGTGACCATGAAAATTGGTAACAATAGGTAAAGTCGCATCCCGTAAGATGGACAAGAGCCAAATACGGACAGACAATTTCCTCTGCCCATAAATTGGCCAGCTCCAGTCTTAATTACAACTGTAACACAATGATTAATTGGATAAAGTGTTATAGATCTCGATTCATAAAATAGAATAAAACTAAAATATTTCCATATCGATGTCCTTCTATAAATATCCTTTTAAAACTGCTTACATCATTTATTAATAATTTTAGGATCATCACGTTATTAAAATCAGTTGATGATGATATGATCTTTTTGGTATAAGAGTAAACTTCACATAATAGATGCATCGTAGGCAAATAACGCGTTTCCATCACGGTAACACGCGAACTGTCATGTTCACAGAGAAATTCGACTGCCTTCTCGTTTCGACACTAGGCTACAAGAAGTCCCTCCCTTTTCTGTGAATTCCGTCGCGCGAGTCAGCGTTTTCTAGCCTGAATCGTGGACGATAGACAAAACGCACTAAAAGAGATGCGTTTTCAGATATAAAAGAGTATAAGAGAGAGACAATGCAAAAATCAGAGAGAGACAAAGCAAAATGGAAAATATTTATGCATAGAGTCGAAAACAAGAGATCACTGCAAAAGGAATATTTCGCGATTGATGCTAACGTTAATTGTCGTAAAAAAAACCTGAAACAGGTTAAACAGATTGGATTTATCTGATTTATCACGGTATCAAACCGTGGTTTTTTTTTCACTGTTCGAAATATCAGAGTTGTCCTCTAGCGAAACAGTATAAAAAGACGTACTGCTGATGCAGATGTGTGCTAAACAGTTTTAGTGTTACTGAAGGGTCCTTTACTTCAGCACATATTGGATAAATCCTTCTCCAAATAGGTGAGTTCCTTTTTCACCGCTAGAACATCGTTTCTTAGCTGATCAAGTGAGTCAACCACTCTCAACCTTTTGCAAAACAACTCGAATTTTCTTATAACTTTCTTAGAACAGATGGAGTTGTTTTTCGAAAACTCCTGGTTACAGGGCCTTTTAAGAACAAAGGGAATGTGAGTCTCACAGATATGGATCAAATCTTGTTTCTGCATTCTTGACGTACATTTCTTGGTAGCAGTGTCACACGACGACTGGCAATCATCTTCGGTGCCAAACCAGCAATCAGCATTAGAAACACATTCCTTTTGCTCCAAGACATGTCTAAGATAATGAACAGGAAAGACCGCGTCAAAATCAATCACTTTTACCACTGAATTATTGGCGATTCCAAAATTCCCGAGGTGCATGTCACAAGACTGTAACATGCCATAAGGGTTACTGGACAGATCCATTACAGAGTCTAGCAGTGAGTGGAAATACTCGAACTGTTTTTTTCGATTGGGCATCCGTAAGTCGAAAAAGGCATCTAAAATACCATTCCATGTAATAGTTGGTATATTCACAACAATTTTAGAAAAATACGGGATAGAACTGGCAGCGTCGAAAATCTTTCCAATAAGTTTTTTCACCATTTCTTGAAAGGGTTCAAATGTATCGGGCACAATGTTCAAATCATCGAAATTCCACTGTGTACCCAAAACATCTGAGACAATGAGAGGCAGCTTTTCAGTCGCATACAGACCACCACAATATCCATGGAAATCAGCAGTCTGTTTGCTGTTATTTAATGCAATCAACATAAATGGTTCTTGCTGCCGCAATAATGGTACCAACGACCGTACTTCGGGGGCTGTCACAATACCATCATTGTCGCTATCACCAAGGGATAGAAACAGCGACACAAGCCTGTTGCATTGAGGACAATCACCAAACAAAGTTTCCACTAGGAAAGAAACATTATCTTGAAAACTTAGAACAACATCTTCGTCTGTTTGTTCCTGAAATGTATTGAAGTCCGTATACCATCGAAGATTTGCCTTAAAAATGACGTCTCTTCCATGCCATTGGCCTTCATAAACTTTATCTTCCATCGCCTCTGTAAGGCAATTTCCAAATTGGATATTTTTCTGTTCACAAAGATCGGGGCATAAAGGTCCAGAGATTTCTCCTGCTTCATAAGCTTGACACTGAAAAAGTGGAAAAATGGGTGGAATTAGGTCTTTAAAGAGAAAAGAAAGCATTTGGAAGAGAACGATGGGATGAAAAAGCGAAAGTAAAAAGAAGGACAGATGAAATGATGTCGGGTTATAAAAGAGAACATAAAACAAAAGAATACTGTTGTAAAGTCAGAATTGGAAACTTTAACTAACCAGCAAATTAGCAATTGAAGGTAAATTGCACTTTAAATGTCTTTCAACTGTCGTCAGTATAGCATACAGGGAAACAACCAAAGGCAGCAGCATCAGCTTCCATCTCGCCATGATCGACTGACCTTATAGTGACTGTCAAGTGGAGAGAGAAATCATGCTGCTCACTTTCTATAATAAATAGTTCAAATATTATGCAATCTAAATGAGACTTGGAGACTAGGAGCTTCTTGGTATTACAACCCTGGCTGGAAAACTCGGGGTAAACCCCCCAACAGGTTTTTTTACCTTTAGCTCCCGTGAGTGACCAAGACAGAATTTATCCTTACAATATCACTACAAAAGCAAGCAGACATTGTCAAGGGATGAGAATGTAGAAAAATAATATTATCATTACCATAAGAGGATTATTAATTGATCCAACACCAAGTTCTCTGAACTAACATCATAAAAATAGTATGGTAGACAGTGAGAGAGATTACTCATAAGATCTTGAGAGCAAAAGGGTTAAGGAACACCATTTTTTATCTCATGTTGCATGTTTTCCAAACATTTGGTACTAACATCAAATGACGTGTTTCTGAGGTTCTGAAGGAGTAAAGAGAAGCAGGGCAAGTTTAGAAAGTTTTTCACAGTCTTGTTTATTTATTGCTTTCGTCCAGTTTTTATCTAAGACAAAATTTTTCAGCCATGCATTTGAAAATCTGTCCACCTCAGCCAAAATTGGTCAAGTCGCACATGTAACATGTTGGTGATGACAGGAATTTGTCTAAATTAACAACTTTTTCGCTAGCGCAGCAAGGCCTAAGTCAGTCTTTTATCTCCTCTTCAGCCCAACCCAAATCCTTCATCAATAAAAGCACGGAGTTAGCAGTGGACTTGACCTATGCAGGGATATTCTTGAATTTCTCGAATTTCTGATTTAGCCCTTTACACCCTAACATCAGTGTGCATATTCTCCATACTGTCATCCATACATTTCTTAAGATGCTGACAAAGAGAATTTGTTTAATAATAAAGAGCTTGTTAATTTGTTGATCATTTTCTTTGCTCTCATGACCTTAATGGGTGATATTAGTAAGGAGAAAATAGATGCTGGTCACTCCTGGGTTAAAGGGTTAATCTCCTACGAGTTATCATTTATTCTTGTTACCATAAACATTGCATAAGAATACCAAACTACCCTTAACTCCAAGTTCTTAGCCCTCTTCCCCAAAGATAAACTAAACTGTCAAACATTGTTTATTTCCTGGGGAGGGGTGGAGGATTTTCAGGAGGAAAGGTGCAGTGATCAGGCGTCCCTAATAGGGTAAAAAGGATAATTGACTGCAATAAACTTACCATTGAAGGGTGGGGGACCATTACTTTATGGGGCTATCAGCTAAATTTTATAGCAACAAAAGCCAAAATCTTCTGACCCCCCTCCCCTCCTCCCCAAGGTAACAAATCAAATTTGGTCCCCTATTCATAAAGGAAAATTTCATACCACATTTAAGCCCTTATGGCTTTAAGTTCCACAAAAAATAGCCCATATATATGTTGACACTGCCCAAAAGGGAAAATTGACAACAGTATCTCCCCAAGGAAGACCTCCTTTGCGAAAAAGGAAGGGACTGTTGTGGAAATATGGTAGTTGAAGGCACCCCTCCAAATACACTCACAACAGTGCAGTGAATGAGGAGGCATGGCAGGGCTCTAGATACCGGTACCTCAACACCACCAAAATATATCCAAAACAAAATATCACTGCACAAAAAGTGATAAGCTGAGACACCCCATTATATGTTATATCCACGCATGATTTTCACTCCGCTAAACACATTTCAAAGTTATAAAACATAATTGCAAATCTATTTACCGCCAACCTTTTGGGTTAACATGAGTCCAAACACGCATATCCTATGTTGCTTCATTAATATGTAAATTTCAAGTCTTTAATAGAGCCAATTTTCTCGCTCATTCACACTGAAAGCAATTCATGAGGTATTGTGGTAAAGCAGATGTTCACGGAAGTTGCATTGTGGACCGTGAACGGAAGTAGTCTCGCACCATACCCCTTCTCACTTAGTAAAGGTCAAAATTAATCCCGATGAAGCTCAGAAAGTCACGTGGAAAGAAATAAAATGTTTGTATGGTTTAATACAAATGATAAACTCAAATCACATTTCCGAACTTCTAAAAATGCAACTTGAATCGAGAAGCCGAAATGTTCACACCTAGGGGACCCGTAGCGGGTTCATTTCAACACTCGCTGTGACCACGTGGAAGGGTATCAGAGGCAGCCACATTGTTAAGCCAAGCATTTGCGTTCGTCTCCAGTTGGTATATAGTAATCATAGCTCTATCATTTTGCTTTTCCTCGGGAGCTCTTCAACATATAGTCCACACATCAATCATAGCGTCCAAGATAGTCTTAGACGGTTAGGAATATATGAAAGTCATATATTTGAACTGCAGATAAAGACGTGAATGAAAGTGATCCTCGCAGTGATGTGCACTACTTAGGTAGTAGTGAAAATAAGGCCTGAAAAAAAATTCAGGCCTGTACGGGATTTGAACCCATGACCTCTGCGATACCGGTGCAGCGCTCTACCAACTGAGCTAACAAGCCAACTGGGAGCTGGTCATGATGGTGGTTCTAAATAAACCCGTGAAGTGATGAATAGACGGTAAAGAATATATGAAAGTCATATATTTGAACTGCGGATAAAGACGTGAATGCCTAAGTAGTGCACATCACTGCGAGGATCACTTTCATTCACAAGATAGTCTTACCAAAAATTTTTTTCAAGCCCTAATATTTCGGTTCGGACTTGAGACTCGCTCGAGGAAAAACAGCAATACCAATCTGGTCAATACAAAATGCAGACTGCAGACCGGGTACGAAATGCAGACTAGGTCCAAAATTCAGAATGCAGACCGGGTACAAAATGCAGACCGGGTACAAAATGCAGACTAGGTACAAAATTCAGAATGCAGACCGGGTACAAAATGCAGACTGAGAATTTATAATGTTTTTCCGTCTGATACGTGATGGGAATAAACGTAACTGCGTAATATGTGACTAACACAGTTTATATAGGAGATGAACTTTGTTCGTTTCACTCACCATAGAGTCACTTTTGATGTTGGTGCATTTCGATCCTCGTTATTATTCCGGTCCCTCTTAGGTCCTCATAAATAGGCTGTTGTGGGTATCTATGCATCAGGAATATCGATTCCGCTATCTCTATTGGCTTACATATATACATTACCGACTAGAAGAAATTACGCCGTTAGTTACTGGCGTAAAATCTTACGTATAGACATTATCGACTGGACGAAATTACGCCGTTGGTCACTGGCGTACAATCTTACAGTATATGCGTTGCTGACTGGAAGAAATTACGCCGTTGGTTACTGGCTTAAAATCTTACACTATATACATTGCAAACCGGAAGAAATTACACCGCTAGTTACTGGCGTAAAATCTTACATAAAACATTACCGACTGGAAGAAATTACGCCGTTAGTTACGGGCGTAAAATCTTACTGTGTATATATTTATGACTGGAAGAAATTACGCCGTTAGTTACTGACGTTAAATCATACAGTATATTTATGTCTAAGGCAGGACTCAGACCAGCTGTACTTTTACAAAAACGTTACTTCCTACGAGGCGCACCGAAGACTTTTTCACTATTTACCATTTTTAACGAATTTTTCTGGTGTGGTGTACATAATTCGTACTTAAAGGCCCATTTCCAACCTTGATGCAACGCGGTCGTTTGTTTTTGTTTTGAACCACCGCTTTTGTTTAAATAGCGCCTCTGATTGGTCAGTTATTTTTACCTTGTCACGTTGTCTCAAAATATCTTCTGCGTTTTTTCGCGATGAGTTCGGTGAACTTGTCAAAATAATTCTGTTTAAAACAGTACTATACGTTTCAATCCGGTTTGGAATCAGGTGAATACACTGATTTAGTAGATTCCGAGGCAGCAAGTGCTTATGGATCAGTTGTTGCTAGAGAGGAACACGAAAATCCTTGCGAGTATTCCGAGGAAGGTGAAAATGTTGATCCACCACGTTTAAATTCATACTTCCATTTTTTTTCATTGAAGATTGCCATCCTTGTTAAATAGGACCAAGGGTCAGTTGAAGTTTCCTACCCGTGGAGAGGAGCTTGCGCTCAAAAGAGTGGTCGAGGTTGTTGTCCATGCAAAGCAGCAAATAAGAATTGTAACATAAACTGTCAGTGTCGCTGACGTTCCTGCAATGAAGTGACTAAACGTCCGGCGGCTGGACACGGTCTTAAAATAATTAAACGTCCGGCAGTCCGATATTTTTCCATATTTCTCTTCGAAATCCAATATATTTATACGAAAATATTCTTCCTTTATTTACAATCCTCTAGCGCTTACAGGCAGCCAAATATTTCGAACTTAATGTTTTTCGCCAACCCTGTATACAGAGTACAAAGCCATCCAAGCGCCTGACACTTAAAAACTTTTCAATGACACGACCGGACACGGTCCTCCAATAACTTCATATTTCTCTTTGAAATATACCAATTTTCCTTCGAAAATATTCTACCTTCATTTACAATCCTCAAGCGCTTCTAGAAAGTGAAAAAATTCGAACATTGTCCGTTTCGCCGACCCTGAACACAGAGTGCGAAGAGACCCAAGCGTGACACTAAGAAAATTTTCTTCGGACACTACCGACTCGGTCTTCGAATAACTAAATAACTCTCCTTGACGAATACCAATTTCTATTGGAAAATATTTTGTTCTTATTTAGAATCCACAAGTGCTTCTCGAAAGTGAAAAAATTCGAACGTTGTCCTTTTCGCCGACCCCGCTGTACACAGTGTATGTAGAGATCCAAGCGTGACACTAAAAAAGATTTCTTCGGATTCTACCGGACAAAATTCAAAATACTGTAAGTAGACTGTAAAATGACGAACGGCGAATGTATTTACCGTAAAACAGTTGACTATGTCCAGGATGACTCTATCGTTTGAGTTTATCATGAAAAAAATGTGCTTCTAATGAATAGTGCTAATTAGACAAATTGTGCGCGCTAAAAGCCCGTGCAGTAAGACGAGCCATTCAGAGAAGAGCTCAATAACCTACGTGCATACTCCCAAAGGAACGCACCCTAAAACTCCGTTCCTTTCATGCACCGTGATCTGTGTGATCTTGGATCACAAATCCTAATCCGAATACTCCCAAAGGAACGCACCCTAACATAAATACATTACCGACAGGAAGAAATTAGGCCGCTAGTTACCAGCGTAAAATCTTACAGTATATGTATCACCAAATAGAAGAAATTAGGCCGCTAGTTACTGGCGTAAAATCTTACAGTATATACAATACTAGGTAATTTAGTGTTAACGACTGAGTTGAAAACGTAAATTAGCCACCGTAAAGGGTATTTACAATACTGACTGGACTAGCGTATATGTATCACCGACTGGAAGAAATTACGCCGTAAGTTACTGGTGTAGTTACAACATTAGTTAACGGCTTAAAATCTTACAGTATGTGCACCGACGCAGATAGTGGCGTAAAATCTTACAGTCTATAGACTTTGTTAGTCACATATTACGCCGCTATCTAACGACCACCATGGCAGTGATAAAAAGGAAAATTGCACCCGGCTAATTCGTATAAATGAGGAGGTCTCGGTGATTTCGCTTGAAATCGTTGAGGAAAGCGATAATTTCTATGTTTCCTTTGAATAAATTCCCTCTTAAGTTCCCCTTACCTTTCCTAAACTGATGAACCAATATCAGTCTTGATCAAGTATTGTTTTCGAGGAGCAGCCTTTTGGTAACCTAGTGCCCAATCTTCGTATGCATTGAAAGGATTAGTGTGGACTGGACTATATAATGGGAACAACGGACGAAGGGGAGACGGGATATAAGTTACACCGCAAACAACATTAGCATAAAGGTAGAAAGAAAGATGAGAGAGGATATTGAAAAATTGGGGTCTTTTCCAATATTTCTCCTTTTTTCATTCTTTTACCGCATCGAATGATCGCAGTCACTTTGAAAAAAAATTCCCTGAAACCTCTAAAGAAGTAATGCAAGCGTGATATGTCACTCGATTCAAGACTTGGAGATACTCATTCAAATAAAAGGAACATTCCTAATGTTATGATAGGAGAGGAATCTTTTGTGCCCCGGATAGCAGCGTTCAGTTTCCTTTTACAGGCCTTTCTCTATGAAAAGTGGCCGACAAACCGCTGGGGACAAGATTGAAGCAGCAGGCTAAACTGGATAGCGGAATGTCATACTGAGATACTAGTACGTCAAATATGCTATTATCATCGAGACTTCGTTCAGGTGGCAAAGATGTAATACCTTTCACCAACAAACCACCAAGCTTGGTAAGCCAGTCTTTGTGATATCTAACATGTTTACAAACACATGAAATATGTAAACGACTGCTCGCTCTGCTCAAAAAGTCAATACTTTCAACATGTAGCCGGTAGCTTGTCAACCCAGCGAGCAAACACATGCAGCCCTAGATCGTAAAGTGTCATCAACTCTGTCATGATGGTTGGATTCGAGGTAAAGACAAGAAAATCTGTGAGGAAATGTATCCCACCTACCAACCAATTTTTTTTTATGTTTATTGGAACACAGCCTGGGTACAATAAGAAAATGTAAAATGACAGACGTTGCATGCTGGCGATCGAATGCGAGAGTACATTCAAATTTTATCTTTTGTTTACTGCGTGATGTCATCTATTTTCACTCCTAACTTCAGAATGATAGCTTAAAGGTATATTTCTGAGCTCCAAATATTTCAATTCTTGGTGTAAACTAGCCTGGTTGCGAAAAGAATTTGTCCTAAAGTTCACTTCACGAACAATTTCCACATAGTTCTGTTTCATATAAATCATTTGGTAGAAGCTTTTGTGGTTTTATTCTCCTCTTGTGTACACGTTGTTTTCGTCTGTATTTTTTTGTGCTGACGGTGTACTACTGGATTGCTTAGTTACACTTCCTCGTGAGGGCAAAACTTTGTTTATAGGAGGACTTTAAACCACAGAAGTATGTGTGCATGTACATGGTGCTAGCCCACAGTAAGTTGTTACACTTATCTCCTCACTTGCTGAAGGATTACAAAAGGGGTCATTACTTTTATGTGCATTGTCACTGATGGGAAGTGAAATATGGAAGTTCTGATGCTGTAGGCCTTACTTGTTTTTGGTTTGCCTCAGCACATTCAAACACTTTACTGATCAGATCATCAAAACCCCT